AACCTTGCTTCTGACGCGCAGCAGCTCGGCAGTGCCGTCCGGGTAGCCGACCACCACGGCGACGTTCGCGTCGCACCACCAGTTGCTGTAGATGATGTTCCTGGCCGTCTGGTTGGAGGCCGCGGTGGTCACCAGCAGAATGCGACTAAAGGGACTGAAGAACTGGCGCACCGTCACCAGGGTCGTCAGGAGGACCTTGGGGTCGCTCCTGGCCAACAGCGTCATGTCCACGTGCTCGTTCAACCCGAGCCAGCTGCCTGGGAGCTCGTCCGAGTTTCTCAGCGCCCGCACACCGATCAGGGCCCGGGGCGTCTCCGAGGGCAGCTGCCGGATGAACGCGCCCAGCCACTGCTGGTGCTCGTAGTAGACGAACAGGTTGCCGTTGCGGGGCGCGAGGATCCTGGCCACCAGGCTCACCGACGACGCGACCTCGGTGGGGGAGCTGTTCAGCGCCCCGAGCCTCTCCAGAGAGTGGTGGACCAAGGCGGCGTGCGCGCCCGCGACCACGAGGGCGAGGAGGAGAACCATGAGGGGGAGCGCGCACGACTAGGAAATAACAACGTGCAAAGTTTTTAGAGATCCCCCCAAAACAGTTCTCCACTTAGTTGGTGTTGTCTCAACCATAATTTACGTCGATTCCTCCTCAACAAACTCACCATTAGAGCAGCTGGTCATTGCCCTGGACTGGACTTGCTGCTCACGTGGTCCACGACTATCCCGCCGGGGCGAAGGGAGAAGTGTTGAGCCCTACGTCTTGGATTTCACCCTTCCCGGAGGTCAGGACCCGGAGGGCCGCGAGCTTGGTGACGGCCGGGACCACCGGCATGGTCTAAGGCCACACCGTAAGTGTGCACACCCCTATGTCCACTAACACTGCCCTCGCATCGGCGCCGAGGGGCGCCGACAGTACTCGATCCATCAAAAGAAATCGAAGAGCGGAGGTACGTACGTCAGCGCGAAGGCCGCAGTGGAGAGGGGGAGGGCGAAATGGTGCGTGGCGTGGGGCAAGCAAACGCATGCGCATGACCTCACAAATAACATACACAAAACTATTCAGAGCGGTCGAGGACCATTGCCGAAACAAATGGTCTGACAGTTGTTTTCAACGTTGATAAATTGCCACCGCGACTTTTCCCCTTATGACACCCGCTCGCGAGACTTTTCGGTCGATGCCACCACCTTAATCGTTTTGCTTTATCATGTAAACTTCCAGCGCGAGATTTAAACTCGGCCGGGAGGGGCCGTTATTTACATTATTCTTTGTAGGTAAACGGCAGTCGGCTTTGCGAAGGTGCGCGCCCGGAAATGAGGGGGCCTCGCCGGACACAAGACGGCGGGGGATGCTGGAGGCCGGCTGCGCGCTGGACCAAAAGACATTCGGCCGGGGGAGTTGAATCCGAGAGCAAAGTCTGGAGGGCCGAGGGGGCTGGGCCCAGAGGAGGACCCGCCCCGGGACCCACCACCCGCCGAGATGGAGCGGCCAGATGGGGATGTGGTCGGTAGGGTAGGGGAAGGAGGGGGATGGGCGGGGAGTAGGAGAGGAGGGGTGCGAGTGAGAGG